CAGCAGCATTTCTTGGAGCGGCCGTTATTTCTATGTATTCAGGGCGAACTGGTGACGTTGCGAAGGGAGATCGACGAGAACTGGCTAGAAGGCACAAATCATCTCGGTGAAATAGGAATCTTCCCCAGAAGCTACGTTCGATTACTCGAGGACATTCCGGATGATGTGAACGAGGTGAGAGATACCCTCAAGATAACTGGATGAATTGGTGATCCGTGTTCAGACTTTTTGAAAACTGAATTCAGATTCCACAGTTGGCATATTCGCCTGATCGTCCGAAAACTCCCAAAGTCTACGAAAAGGACGCCTACCGCGATTTTTTCGACCTGTGAGTAAGTCAATGAAGTCGGCAGCTCCTCGGCTAGTAGAGAACTAGGCTACAAAAATGATCATATAACTTATCCAAAGGAAAAGCTGGGCGCGAAGTACGAAGGATGACAAGAACTCTCAATTGCTTTCCACTGAGAGGTCCTAATGGGCGCTAATAACACTCGGTGCGCCAAAGAAAAATTGGGTGGAGAGACGGTATAGCACTTCCACCAGAACATCCGCCTCTACAGCCCGTCAAAGTTCTGCTACAGTACGCGTTTCTGGTGAACTAACGGAGTGATCCAACCAGCTTCAATTCCGATTTACTTAGTTCGCATGGCAGAAATCAGTTTTCAATTGTCCGCTACAGAACTACGATTTCCAATCGTTTCTCGTTAAACCGTAACAAAAGCAAGACAGTTTTGTTGTTGTTGCATTCAGAGGACAGCTATGGAATCAACAGTCGGACGTAACGTCACACTTTTGTTGTTCTATGCTCACATTAATCAGCTCTAAATCCTGCGGACCTACGGAAGAAAATAGTGTTAAGTGGGCAAACAAATAATGGCTATAACTTCGTAACGGGTGCCGCGCTATAAAAACCACCAGCACTTTCTCAGCTAAGTGACAATCAGTGTGAGTCGTCCGTTCGGCCAAGGGGGAAGTGTAATTTGGCTCACAGAAAATGTGATGCATAGGCGTGCCGTCTCGTATCACACAGTGTTGCGATTTGTTCAGTTGGCGAAACGGCGCCAGAAAAAAAGGATTGCAAGCTGGACATGCATTTTTTTCCAACGTGATGTTGGATAGCGCAAGTAATGGGCAGGGTACTCAATCAGGAGGGATAGTGAGGTTAGTGGTCAATGTGTCGGGCTGTTGCACACGCGCGGTCGCGGATCGAATCTCGGTCGCGCTGTTGTCCGTGTTCAAGCAAGCTCCATCGTCGCGTCGGATTGTTGGTATCAGACCTGGAGCGGGCGAAACGGAGACTGAGTGATAACTTTTTTGCAAGCCCATCCAAGAATAGATACATTAAGTATAGTTCCAGTATGAAAATGCCGGAGGTGATATTCCATCCCACCCCTTAGATTTTCCGGACAAGTGCGCACCAGGCACATTTCGATTTCCAACTTCAGATCAGGTATACGTACCATAGTTTTCAGCACTCACACGTATAACGTGTTGAGCCGGTTAGCCGATATCGGCAATGACCGCGAGGCTGAAAGCTTTAGCAATGATTTTGCTTTGTTTGTGTTCTCAGTTTGTTCACAACTCAGCATTCTTGTGTTAGAAACATTCGCAAGAGGACTGCGGCACAAAAAACAGCGTTACAACGAAATACTAGCAATTGTTCATTACTTGGTCAATTCTCATGTCAAATATGTCTCTGATTTGGTTGATCCTTAAAATGTGTCTGGTGGTAGAAAAAACTTCATGGAGTGATGAGTAAGATGAGGCGATTTCAGCTGATAAGTCGTCCCAAATGCCAAAATAACTCTGATGGAGGGCGCATGGGATAGCGTAGTGAGGTTGGCGAAAGCGGTATTCGAAAAATGGAGTGCGAGTTTGAGTCCCACTAACGCTGAACTTTCGATCCTTGTGCGCGGTATTCAAAAAATGGAGTGCGGTTTGAGTCCCACTTACGCTGAACTTTCGAACCTTGGCTCATAACTTACATTATATCGGTGAAAACAGAACTCCTTTTGATACTACTGTAGAGCTTTTCATTATGATTTGTCTCATTTGCTGCAGGACGCCGTAGTATGAAGATGACCTTTTGTTCCTTATATGACCTCCACCTGTACAACCTCATAACCTCTTCAATCACATCATTTCTAGGTCTTCCACAACCCATAACTCGGAGCCTACGAGTTTTTCACGCGATTCAGGTTTTGTGGATAATCGCCTCAGTCAGACGTCTAGCAGTGTCAGGTAAATTTTCGAGTATGAAACAGGATTGGAAGCTGTCAAAATTTCGCTGAATCAATTTCTCCTGAAAGGAAATAGCTGTGAAATCCATGGCTATATATCAATTTCCAAATTTTCACTCATAAATCATGCCGTGCCGTTTCGCTGGAACTGGCAAGTAGATTTTGGTGCTACACATATTACTAGGCTGGGCGCGCCAATTTTTGAATACGGTAGGAGCCAAACATATTAGGTCGGTCCATAATTTTTGAGACACTTTACATGTATTTGTAAAATCTTTTGATAAGTATTGAAGCTTTCCAAGATGTCCTGCAACCTAGCACACAAGCTCGCCTATCCGACAGGCTAGCCACCTCGTTTGCTTGTTACTTTCTTTAGCTAGATTCCAATTTCTTTGAAACCTACTTCTGAGCCTCTTTCTTCATGACTTCAGATTAGATCTTCCACGCGCCAGCTATATGGAGGATTAACCAGAAGATAGCTGAGGGCACGCTCTCTCAATCCACGGTGCACGGTGGTTACCTCTACTCAGGGTTCCCTCCTTTTATTTGAAGATGATCCACACTCCAACCACCCCGTGACTGGCAATCTCGATGCTCTATCCGGCGCCATTGAAAAGGAATCTGAACAAAGTTAGCGCTATTTGTCAGAGCGCTTTTGGTGTGACAAGGAGTACTGAGACATCTCGATAAAGTCGCTAAGGTTTAAATATGGAGTTTGTCTCTCACATGCTCTGAGCCCGAATCAGCTCTAAACCCGATCTGACATCATCATGTTCCTCTTGGTTTCCCATAGTTCCTTCGAATGACCATCCATCATACTCATCGGTGATGTGGACTGGGTGCAGTGTGACTAA